TTTTATAGTTGTAGATGTATTTAGTAAAGATACATTATGGGAGATTAGATAAAGAGCTAGCTGTTCTCTCTATAATTGTTAAAAACTAGATAATGTAAAAGGAATTTGCTGAAAATTTTAGTCAAAATTGATCCACTCTGAACCAAAATTTTAGCGATTGAATTTTCGGCCTAGCATCGATCATCATTACTAAAGTCTGTACAATAAAAAAACATAGTCTCGATTATTCATTTCATGATTAAATCATGAATGGAAGTCAAACAGCAAATCAGAACCTATTCAGAGTGATAGTACACATAATCAAAAATTAATTATACAATATTAGTCATAAAATGACTATGGTCATTTCCTTTACTTTTATCCGACTAAACCACCAAATACTTTCCATCCAGTGTCTTGATTGAAATTGAAAGGAGAAAAGTATTGTAAACTTGAGGGAGTTATTTGATAAAAAAGGTATTGAATTGGGTTGATATTGTGTATTAGTATTCGACAAGTTCTATATCAGGGATGGCTAACCCCTGATACATGGATGGAAAAATCGACCCTCCCCACCTTTGTTTACTTATGTATGTTAAATTTTGGCTAACAAACGCAAAAACGATTTTATCACAACACTGACTTTATCTATGTAAAATTTTCAATGAAGACAGATTGTCACCCCACAAAATACTTCAACACATAAAATCCAATGGATTGGATAATTATATGTTTTTTTTGATTCAGTGAGGTCTAGCAATTGTAAGAAATACATGTAGGTTGTACCAAAAAACAAAGATTTTTCTTCATTATATATGATGCATAGATAAATAATGTTGGTATTTACATGGATAGTGTTTAAATGATGTGTAGATAAATGATGATTGTCCAAAAATTTTTTCATCCAGTGAACTTTAATGGAGGTGAAAGGTGTCGCATGTTGTAATAAACATTTCATCTATTGTCCAGTCTTTCATCTTGTTTTTGTTTACCATGTCCACCTTGGCCTCTAGCCTGCCATCTTTATCTAGTTCATCATTCATCATACAAGGATTTTTGTTTGTTTTTTGTTCAGGTAACTCATCACATTAAAATTGCTAATGTGGTAAAAAAGAGAAAAATGATTTTATCAAAGTGTCATTTTAAATCTGAAAAAAGTTTTGTGTCAAGACTTTGTCAATTTCTGAGGTGAAAAGGATTTAATAAATTACCAATTTAAAATATTATATTAATGTGTACATATATTCTTTAATTTCAAACAAGTGATACAACGATTTTTTTATTAGCCACAGTGCTTTCATATACTCATCTGATCCTGTGCAAAAAAGATAGGTCATACTCAGTTCCTGGTCCATATGTGCTATATTTCCTGAAACAATTCAGATCATCTGCTATCAAATTATACTTTAATATAATAAACAGAAATATTCTTCCATCTATTGATTTATATCTTGCTTGAAATAAATAAGAAGTTCACTAGATAAATCTGATGAATGTAAATCAAGTCTTTACTGACAATTCTGTGCTGATAATTCTTGTGAAAGATGTAGTAATAATTTATTAGTAATTCAAAGACCCAATAGTATTAGCCCATATTTAACACTGTTGATGTGTTAACTCTGTGGTTAACAGGATAATTTATTCATTGACCAGTAGAAGGTAATAATAATGTGTGGGAAAAGTTGGACCTGACATTTCTTGGCTGACCCTATGGTACATTGTAGAAATAGCGTGACCTGAATATGGATGGTTTATCGACTTGCTGGACAGCTTGACCAGTCCAATAAATGCTAACAACCGTGGACCAAATAACTCCAGCTGGTCAGAGGCGGAGTAAGAAAATCAATAGCCATAGTGGTTTTAGTTGTTGTTTATATAATGTCTGTGTTTGTTTCTCTGTCTTATGGTATTATACAATTCTGGTCTGGACGGTTTCCTGCCATTGTCTACAACATTTATATGTAAATAAAACTAGTGGACATCAGATTCAACTGGGATATATTGCCATGACATGACCTGGTTTATTTAGATATTAATATGTAGTAGAAGTAATAAAGTATAGTACATTTGGTCATAATTAGTAGCTACATTTATTTGAGTTCTATCAAAGTAATGAAATGAAATATTGTTTAATGTCTTATTTTTCTACTCTACATGTAAATCGGGCTAATGAAGATGGGCACACAGTGTGCTGTGACAGAAATTTCGCCCTATTCTTATTTTTGGTAGACACGAAACAGTACGGATTGGCAGTAGTCGGCACGCTTTCATTCTATCGTATTACGAAAACCCATAATTTTGTAGGAATATTACTGACATAAATTTGAATACCGTACGAGAATTAAATATGAAAAGTAACGAGGTGCACCTATTTTTTATTACTTAACGACTTTGAATATTTTGTTGACACATGATTTTTGTGTGTGGTCTAAAAACTGCCTGTTTAAATAACGATAAGAGCTATGTTCCTTTATTTTCGGTAAAAATGTCTGACATTTAGTCCCATCCAAACAACTAGATACCATTCCTTGTAAAGCTCCCTGTCCACCACCAGTGACAAGAAGTTACCAGATAGGAAAATCCTAAGGATCTTGGCTAACAAAAGGATTGAACCAAGAACCTCACTGTTTAATAATACGCAATGAGCCAAACAATAGTTGTAAGTGGGCATATAAAACGGAAAACATCATCCATGTTACTATATATACATGTATATAGAGCAAGTGAAGAAATTTATCTTGTGCACAAGAGTATATATGAATTCTGCACGTCAGTGGGTTTATTGTTCCGCTCTTGAAATTTCATTTAGCATTAGTAGCATTCAGTTTTCTTATTATTTTATAAATGATACAAATAATAAACCTATTATTTTATTACTTATTGTTTTACATTAAAAGTTTTAAAACACAAACTTTTTTAGTACCTTAAGTTAAAATGGGGTATGTTGTTTTAGAACATGAGAAGTTTTAAAACACAAAAGTGCCTTGTAGAACACATGGATATGTTTTACATGAAATTTTTTGTATGAAAAGTTTTAAAACACAAACTCTTTAGTGGCTTGCAGAACAAAATGATATGTTTTATATTAAATGAAAAGTTTTAAAGTGCAAACTTTTTGGGATAATCAAATTTTTCATGCATGAAGAAGTTCATAAGATTTACATACTTGGGATGATTATGCGTAGAGGTGTAAACATGTATGTGTGTAAACTTACTTAGAATAGGCTAAATGTAGCCTCCTTCATTCAAAAGACAAAATTGTTCTTATTATAGTAGATCTACTGATCGGGCTAGACCCAGTCAACTAGAGCATGAGAACTTGGCAGTCGCGCTGAGTGACCCAAACATGTGCTGTCCACTTCTAACAATGACGGGTAAATCAAATCCATTAAGCCAATATTGACATTAGACCAATGTATTCATGGACTATGTTGTTACTGGACTCTTGACCATACAGACTGACCGCTTTAGTTACTCAAACAACTTTCCTAACCAAATACAGTTTCACAGCATAATATGAGCTGATATAAGAAGTATAGAAAGAGTGGCTGACTGCTCAATATAGGGAGAACAATTCCATTGTGACCACTCCTTTGATTTCATATCGTGTTGAATTTCTTTTACCCTGAGGCCTTTACTTTAGCAATTTATTTAAAAGATTAAATTGAAAATCAATCCTGTTTTTATTTATTAAAAAAAAAAAAAAATTGAACATACAATTTAAATTAAATAATGTTCACAGAGATGAAATATTTTGCTTACTTTATAGATAATTTAATCAATATCCGGTCTGCTCACAAACAGGTATAATTAAGCCCATACATGTATACAATAGATCATTGCAGAAACATCAGCCCACCCAATAGACCATTCTATGTGAGCATTTAAAACTGGGGTCGAAATGGCTTAAAATTTGATTTGATACTTTAAAGGGGCATTATGAGAGATTAGATAAAGAGCTGGCAGTTGTCACTATAATAGTTAAAACTAGATAATGTAGAGGGAATTTGCTTAAAACTTCAGTAAAATTGATGCGCTCTGAACCGAGATATTGGCTTTTGAATTTTAGGCCTAGCCTCGATCATCATTACTAAAGTCGGTACGATAAAAAATATAGGTCTCAATTATTCATTTTTGGATTTAATGAGCGTTGAGCAGCAGATCAGATTCAAACCCAGTAAATATCGCAGGATAGTGATGACATAAGAGTTTTATGGTCTGGATAAGTTAATTAATGTCTAATTGATAATTTAGATAACATTTCAGGCCTAAAGAAAGACCTGCAATAGGCAGAAATAGCTCTTGCATAATGTATGTTTAAAAAATACAACCATTATTTTTATCCAGGTACATGTCATTTCTGTCATCTGCCAATCTTTCTGTATTACTGACAATTTTCAGCATTTTTAATTGGATTATAATGGAATATTTTAGGACAAGGGTGGCCAAACTTTTACATTTCTTGTGCCAAATGTTATCAGATGTGCCATGTAACCTGCAGAAGGTTAAATTAAGAAAAAATGTTAACAGATATAAAATCATTCTTTATTTTGATCTTAACCTATATGGCCGAAATGTGGGTTGACTGAAAAACTTTGTGGCACCACTTTGTTCAGTAGCAGACAGTGAAAGTTTACTATGGTGAAGTGGAATGGTCCAATGTAGCACTACATGTAAATTTTGCCAAAGGTTGACCACCCCTACTTTAGGATTTGCCTTTAATTAGTTACTTATGTATTCTTTTCTACATTTTCTGTGCTTAAGAATATAAACCCCGAGATTTATATTGATATTAGGTCTATCCACTGTTTAGACTGTTTTAATCTATGGAAGCTAGTACTAATCTTTAATTTCTTATACTGTATGTAATCTGTGATCTTAATACAAACATAAAAATTTGAATTGCTGTACCAGGGTTATAAAAATCTGGGATATTTAGATTAGATATGTTATAAACTATGAAACATGGATTTATGTAGCAACAGAGAGATGACACATTACATAATATTTTCTAATTTTAGATTGGTGATTTGTCCACAAGGAGAGAGAGAGATTAGTAATTTGTGAGACTGTATTTGTGAGCAGTTGGAATTCCACACAGTAAGTGTTATTTTACATATTTTCAGGATTTTCTCCCACAGCAAAGAAATGATCTATCTAAGCCTTTAGATCTTCAACTAATATGTTACTGACTTAGACGTACTGGATGTCAGTTTCAGTCCAATGTCCAGACAAAACTTTGATTTTACATGTATGTTGACCAACTGAAGAAAACTACATAGGCGAATGTTCCCAATTTCACACAAGGAATACTTTTTCGCATGTACTTTTTCGGTAGACAGATTAAAAATATAAAGAACTATAAGAATAAGTTGAGACAACTGAATATATTTGTAAATTTTGTGAATAAATATTGTTAAAGTGCAGAAATAGCTGTAAAAAAATTTTAAACTGTATTTATTTTTAAAGTAAACTGTTTGAGAAAATCAAGAGCATTTCTTGTAAAATAATTTTTAAGAAAGGTACCTCATGACCATAGTTGTAAGTAGTACCTAGTGGTTTAGAACTAGGACTATTGATAGTATTGTAAAGGTACACATACATATACATATACCTTAGACTTAATACTAGCAAAACATAACAGTTCGGAGGATCGATGTTGCGGCCAGGAGCTTTTGGGTTTGGGTTAAAAACATCTGTGGTCGAAACATACATTCCACTCATATTGTTTTCAGTGTGAGGCACACTTCATAAGAATCTGTTCTTGTCTTAATAATCAGTGACAAACTTCTTGTTCTAAGTTTAAAGCTGTTTTATTGTGGGGTTTTTTTTTGTTCCTTTCTGTAACCTTGAATGATAGCACATTATAATGGACAAAAAAATACTATAAGATACTGAAACATTTCTTCCATACTAGGGAAGTCTGTATCATACCTTTTTCAGACAACATTTAACATTGTACTGCTTAAAATCAACCCTGTACAAACTATTTAGGGAACATGAAAAAAAAAAGAAATCAACCATAGATAATATGCTGGCTTGGATTCAATAAAATTTAAGCCCATCAAAAGATTTTACACAACACATAGCTCATGGATTGTCTGAAGAGGATGCTGAATGCCGGAAGTTTTTCAATTTGTCATATATTTGTAAATATTGAACAGAATTAACAGTTTTTTCACCTACACAAGATTTAGTTGGCGAGGAATTAAAATTCCCTCAAATGATGATTAGATGCTTTAAATTTGAATAAATTAATGGTTGGTTTGTTTAAATTACATGAAATATGTTTACTTGAGGTTTTGTAATATTGTAAAATGAGTGAATAGATTATGAGTGACAGGGGAATGTCAGTACTTAAATATTACATGACTTTATACATGTCCACTAATCTTATTGCTGGTTGGTGTCATTGGTCAATTATGATGTAATAGCCAGCTTTCTAACTGGTCATTTAATGTAAGGGTCATTCACCTTCACAGATAAAGGGTCACCAGATATCTATATGGTCAGTTTAGTGGTCAAAGTCAAACATCAGCTCATGTTGGCATGTTGTGAGTAATATAGGATGTACATATATATGATATTAATTTTTTTTCTAGCTGGTAAACCATTTTGTTGGTGTTTTTTTAACCATAAATTTTTATCACAAATTATATATACATGTATATTTCTAAAAACTGAAAGTACAGGTGGCCTTTCTGCAGTGCTGCATTTATACCAATCTGATTAAAACATATATCTTTTTTCGTTTCATTTTTTATACTTCAAAATTTGGTTTAACTTGTCTTCACTCACTAGGATCTGATAATGGTGAAGGTATCCTCATTGAACCATTACAGACAGTTGATACACCTATTGAAATATCCATAAAGCTGTCTGTTATTATACATGTACATGTATCACTTTCACTAAATGTCCTTTAAAGATAGGGAGGTTGGATGGCCGAATGGTTATCGCATGCGCGATGTATCATAAGGTCTGTCATTGAGTCAACTGGCATGGTTTCAATTCCCCCATTGTGTGTGACAACCTGGGGTTTTTCTCCGGGTCCTCCAGTTTCCTTCCACTGCTAAAGACCCTGACGCCCAAGCGAATTATAGAAATAAAATTGAACCATATGTTAGTCCAAAAATGACCTAGTTTGTGTGGAGTGGACCTCTCTCTGTCCTTGAAATAAGATAGGATCTGGAAGATTTGTTAAAAAAAAAAAAACCTGCTTCCTGGTTGATGTGAGCTAGGGATTGGCCAAAAATTGAGTTAAGAGTTCTTATCGTATGGAACATGGAACTGTGGGTAGACATTCACATCGATAAAAAAACAGATCAAAGCAAAAGTTTTCTTTCCGAAGATACAAACTTGAAACACTGATGTTGATTGGTTTATTGAATGATTGACACAATAGGGTCAAAAGCCGTGCGTATTACCCCTGACAAAACCTCCCACTGCAAACAGGCAGATCTTCATGTAGTGAAGACCATCGAAAGTATAAAAAACAAAATATACATTTGGATTTGAATCAGATTGGATTTATACTAGGTCAGACCCAAAACTATCTTAGGGGAGCGCTTGTAAACCAAAAAATTAGGCTTAAATTATTTATTAAATTAATTACTGTACAAAACCATTTTCAAAACTTAACCTAAACATTTGCTGTGCTGGATACCATTCCAATCTGTATTATATATCATGATCCTGGTCTCTTTATTTCAATAACATATTGTATAGACTTGCTTAAAAGGACTATCCCAATTTGAACAGGGTCTCCAAAAAAAGTCTGAGTATGTATAAAAATTTTAGCTCAAAATATTGAGTCGTTTGGATGTGAATGTCAAAACTGCTTATCTGGACACGTAACCCTTTTAAGATTTCACTAATTTCAGGTGAATTTTTTCATTAGGTGACCTGATAATCAATTCCCCTTCCTTTATACATGTAGGTCTATACAGTGAATGACCCATGTGCTGTACTTGATAACGAAAGGTAAATTTCACATATGTTGAGTTAGTTGCTCGACCCTAAGGTAGAGGGTTTTAAGTGATTTTACATGTAGTCAAAAAAAAACAAAACAAAAACCAAATATCTTTCTTCATACTGAATAACATTGAACCATTTTTGGACAGATATTCCTGGTAGAGATTCATCCTTCACTATTGTGTTTCACAACGATTCAAGATTCTTTTATGTTAAATAGTTCACTACATCACCATCATCATCCCACTGTGTTATTATCCCATCCATAGTATAATCCCCTAATTAGGATTTACCTCCTATGTGTACATCGCCATCCCTCGTACATGTAACTACTTTTCACACCTTATGATATCTTCACAGGTTTCATGGTTTCTAATTTATTATCTGTTATTGATTAATGTTTTCATTGTTACTTTTTATGTATCATACTTTGTCATTATTTACTTGATAAAATTGAGAGAACCCGTGTCGAAACTCACTAGATATAAACATCAGACAAATTTATTTTGCTTTATGTGTTAATGTATAGGTTTGTGTGGTTAAGGTTGTCAGTACATGTAAAACACTTCTATAGTGACATTGTGGGGTGTAAAATCAATGCCATCAGTGCCAGTACTGATGGCATTGGATTTACAGAGAGAAATGGGGTTTAATTTCAATAATTCGCGTGCGCGTAGGGGTCCTTAGCAGTCGGAGGAAACCAGGGGACCCAGAAAACCCCCATGAGGTTGGACAGGTGACCTTGGATTCAAAACCACGCCAGTTGACTCAATGACAGACCTTATGATACAGCACGCATCCAACCCCCCTTTTGGATTTACAATGTCCTAATAAACCCGATTAAAACATGTTCATTTTGTATACCATTTTATTGATCACATCCTCATTCTGAACAAGTCCCTTTTAAATGTCTCTACATTGCTAGTAAAAATAGCCACCAAATTGCAACGGCAACAGATATTGACTTTTGTCGTGGGGAGCAAGTTGCCAAATATCAAAGAATTGCTTGTCACTCTGAAATTAGACATCTGAGTATCTGGCAGCAAGCAATTCCCTTGTTTGATCAATCAGCGCAAGCTAAAATGTCATGTGATGGTACAAAATGATGACCATCTTTAAAAAAGATTTCCATTCATTGACATCACCATTTTGACTAGTAACATGTACATGACCAGTTTTGACAATCGCTGAACTGTTGACTGCAAATGATCATGGTCTGGGCAGTGGGTTGTCTGACTGTTGATTGTTGAATCAACAACTGGAAAAAAAAAAGATCATCCTTGTAAGCTAGGTACATGACATAAGTGTCATAAGGTTGTAATTAGTGTAAAAATTGTATGTTTTAGATACTTTATAATTACAGTACATGTATGATTTGCTGCATATCGATTATTGAAAACAAAATTAAATCATTGAATTTCTGATCACTCCAAACAAAACATGTAGCCAGGGTCTTTACCAAATCAATTTATTAAGTGAATCCACTTTTATTCTACTGTCCTAAACAAATGTTTGATCATGCAGTCCTAAATTAAAAAACGGATGACCATGCACTTCTCTAGAGAAATTAAAAAATGTATGACCATGCAGTAATATATGACCAAGCACTTCTCTAGAGAAATTAAGAAATATATGACCATGCAGAAATGTATGACCATGCACTTCTCTAGAGAAATTAAAAAATATGACCATGCAGAAATATATGACCAAGCACTTCTCTAGAGAAATTAAAAAATATGACCATGCAGAAATGTATGACCATGCACTTCTCTAGAGAAATTAAAAAATATGACCATGCAGTTCTGGAAAAATTTAAAAAGTGTATATATGACAGTTTTAAAGAAATTTGAATATATTTTTATATCAAATGTCAAGTGTTACTAATACATGTAGTGAATATTAAGATACACATATCCGTGATATGTTCCTGTACTTGATATCATTAGGAAAAGGAAGTGTTTTGGATCAAGGACGTGTTAAGGTCACTTTCGGTACAAATTTAGGACTGGTCACTCTTGAACTTTTGACTTGGATATCAAACTTGTGATTTCTTACGGCCAGGATTAAACATGTACAATCTATTTATACATGTACTCTAACAAACAGAAAGAAAAGAAATGAAACGA